AATACGTTAACCTAAACCACACTTGGAGAAAAAAAATTTAAGTTTTAATATAAAGTTTAACAAAATTAAGTTTTTATCTTAATTTTTGTAAGAATCAATTTATTTAAAAATTAAATATGAATAAAGGACAGGAGAACCAAAGAAAATATGCATTAATGCTTTATTCACGCAGGCATGATTAGGTTTTAATATGTCAATTGACCACACTTGGAGTGTAGGGTAGGAAGTAGCCTGCGCTGCCAGCCATTTGACGCCACCATTAAAGAAATGGAGCTCTTGCCCGTGACGCAGAAGCCACGAGTCCTTTTACCACGTCTGATGCCAAGACACAGAGCCAAAACAGGAAACAACCTGTGCAATGGAAAATTATGAGAGCGAACAGGTCAGCCGTAAGGCCTAGTCAATTCAATCAGTCAGTCAATATTTCCCCAAGCCTGACCTGACCTGACCTGATCGTATCAGTTATGGTTCGTTGGCCTGTTGGTTGCTATAAATATGGCTTGAATCCCCTCCTCACCTTTCATCTACAAAATCTCAAATTTTAGTTCCTTTGCTCGAAAACCCACATCTTAACTTCCTGATTTCCTCCAACAGACGCTTCTTACAGATTAAGAAACAGAAGAGATCTTAAAGAAAGAACGCCGTCACATGGCTTCTTTACAGGCTTCTAATTTTGTGCTGTCTTCTTCTTCAAAGCAAATCTATGCTGCTATATCTGTCCCTAAGCTTCCGTCGATCCGGCTTTCAGTTCCAAAAGTACCAACCAGAGTGTTGTCTGATGAATTGAATACAAGGGATGGGTTCATCAACACAATCCCAGATGAAAAGAATGTCACTAGGACATCATTGGTTCAAGAAAGCTCGTCCGTTTCAATGGCTACCGTTCAGCTTTATGCTATCTTAGAGGCTGTTGCTGATAGAGTGGAGATGCACAGCAACATCGGCGATCAACGCGAAAACTGGAATACCCTCCTGCTTAATTCCATTAACATGATCACTCTCACTGCCGCAACCATGGCCGGCGTTACAGCAACAGGCGGAGCTGGGGTTTCTATTTTGGGTTTGAAGTTGGCATCCACTCTCTTGTTCTCCGCAGCCACGGGAATGTTGGTTATGATGAACAAGATCCAACCCTCACAACTTGTGGAAGAGCAACGTAACGCAACGAGATTTTTTAAGCAGCTTCAGAGCCAAATACAAACCTTACTCGCTGTTGGTTCTCCAAGCAAAGATGACGTGAAAGATGCTATGAAGAAAGTCTTGGCCCTTGATAAAGCTTACCCTCTTCCCTTGCTTGGTGTAATGCTTGAAAAATTCCCAGAAAGTTTAAAGCCTGCTGTTTGGTGGCCTACAAACCAGTCTCCAAAAACAAACAAATCAAAAGAAGCAAAGCACTTCAATGGAAAGGTGGATAACAATGGATGGACCGAAGAGCTAGAAACAGAAATGAGAGAAATCGTTGAGGTGATTAAGAGAAAAGACAGCGAAGATTATGAGAGACTAGGCAACAAGGCGTTGAAGCTCAACAAAGTTTTAGCTAAAACAGGGCCATTACTAACTGGAATTGCAGCTCTAGGGTCTGCCTTCATGGGGTCTTCCCATGGGCCCTGGGCAGCAATAGTGGCGGCTGTTGCAGGATCTTTAGCTTCAGCTGTCAACACTTTTGAGCACGGTAGCCAAGTTGGTATGGTGTTTGAGATGTACAGAAACAATGCCGGCTTCTTCAAACTCGTGCAGGAATCAATCGAATCAAACCTCGACGAAAATGATGTGGAGAAAAGAGAGAATGGGGAGTTGTTGGAAATGAAGGTGGCATTGCAGTTGGGAAGAAGCTTATCCCAGCTGAGAGACCTAGCCAAGAAATCCAGTTATTCTCGTATAGAAGGAAGCCCCATTGATGAATTTGCAAGCAAGCTCTTCTAATCTAGATTCATCACAACATGTGCATATCTAAAAGCCAAAAAATTCTTTGATTCTTTGATTCATTATTCTTTGTACAGTTTTGTAACATGATTCCTAACAGGTTGAATCTTGAATATACTTCACGCATTGAAATTACTCAACGTATATTGCTTTTTGTTCCCATATTCTCTACTTTGGGTTTTGTCCCCGGAGTCAGAAATTTCAATATTCAAATTAAAAGAATTGAAGGTTTTCATTGCCTTTCAGGTAATATCACAACTAAAAGGAAAGGGTCTGGATTGGATGGCTTTGATTAGGGGAATACCCCTGTGTGTTGACATTTTGACTCCACAAAATACGAAGCAAGGAAACGTTTGACTAATTTTTCAAAGATTACGGAAGTGTTCAACATTGTATGCTTCGACTGGGTCACTCCATTCATTTACGGTCCAAAATTTAAGCCCATTGGTTATTTGCAAGCCCAATAATTTGAACAGTGTTGGACCTTCAATCCAACATTTTACAATGTAATTTCATAAATTTAATTAAATTTAATAATTTTAAATACAATCCGTTAACGCTATACATGAATAATACAAAATTAAATAAGTTTAAATTTAAAATTATTGTGTTTCATATATTAATTATGTTGACACATTTAACATACAACAACTATTAATTACATGTTTTAAACAGGTAAAATTCGTTAATTGAACTTGTTTAATTAATTGATATGGTTGATCTGTATAATTTATTAATTATGTTTAAATAGATTATTAATTATGTTATATTTGTATAAATTTAATCCAATCTATATAATAAACCTATTAGTGTTTAGGTCCTTAACACATTAAATTAATAGTATTTGTGATGTTTATCAGTATAAATGTTAATACTTTATATTTACACATAAACATCAATTCCTAAGTCTAAATCTAATATTTATGGGATGTTATTATAAGCTTTTAAGTATTCTCTCCATCTTATTCTCAATAATTAGTTAGTTCAATAAAAAAGGAGAAAAATCTCAATCAGTGTCTTTCAAGTTGTTGGCTTAGTTTTGTCTCAAGACAAGGCAACATGGTCTCCCATGTTATGGTTACGCAGCCGAAGACAATGGAGTTCAAGCATGAAATTACTTTGAACTACTTTCAACGCATTTTTCAGGTGGGGGATAAGAGAGTTAAGCTAAAATCGATCTTTCAAGATTAAAGTAAATATCAATCACTGAATCATAGTGCCATAATCTTAAGTTAAAAGCGAAAAGAATCCCGCTTGATTAACCCTGGAGAAAAGTTGCCATAAACATGCCAGCAGACAGGGTGGCTTGCTCTCCCTCTCTCCAGTCTATACTCAAATGAGTTACTTTGTTTCTTTTCGGACAAACCCAATTCTTTTCCTTTCTTTTCTTTTGCTTTGGCTCTGATTCATTGGCAATCTTAAATCAGGTGTCTGTTCTGATCTTCTGCTACCCTTTTTCTTCTTCTGCTCTATCTCTACCAAGCTTTCTATTTGAAGCCACCGATATCTGTGGTATTGTTTGTTTAGGCGTTGTAATCTAAAAACACAACCATGTGGGCAGTTCTAAGGCGGAGGGTTGCTTCTTCTTCTTCAGTCAGTTTTAACTGCTTTCTTTCTTTGTTCAATTAACTATTATTAAGTACAGCAATAGTATCTAATTAAAAACTGTGTGTTTTTCGTTGTTGGGGTCAGGTTTTAGCCCAGTCATTTCGGGATGCTCGATCTTCTCGATGTTACACTTCTACTCCAAACAAGGTATCGTCAATCCATATGCTTCCTTCTGCTGATTGTTCGTTTCACATTACCCAAGCTGATTCTGCTGTCATATTCCTTTCATGGCGTTTACTCTTTGTTTAGACCTTAGTTTCCAGAGGAGGATCACGGATTGCAGGCATTGTTGGTCACCAGGGTTATCGAGGTAATTGGAAATTTAACAATACCATGCTCTTACTTGTCAGGAAAAGAAGTCTAGATGTTTAGTCATGGTCCTTTCTTTTCTGGGTTTATTTGGTTACAGGGTTTCCAGTTGGCTTGAAGCCCCTAAGGTTTGTCATGTCTTCTGCCTCTATTTCTTATTTGTCTTTGTATCTTGAAACAATCTCTGCTATTTTTTATGGTAGTTTAAGTTGAAGATACACTTCTCCAATAGATTTAAAACTAAGTGGGAAACGATATTATTATGATAACAAATTAAATAAAATAAACAGTGATATGCTCTGCCATATCTAATTTTTGTCCTCTTATTTCAAGTTTCACCTTATTTTCCCCCCAAATATGTCTGCAATGTACAGGGAAGTTATTTCAATTGTTCGAAAATATCCTCCAGTATTGGTCCATACTAGGTTGTTTTCTGCTGATACTGGTAAGACATGTTCAGAATTCTATCATGTTTTCAATTTTTTTTTTAAAAAAAAAAATTGATATGTTCTGATCCTAAGCACAAATGCTCTTTCTTGGCTATGAAGGTGAACTTGTTGATGCTGTTGTTCCTTTCATAGGGGAATCCGTCACTGATGGCACTCTAGCAAATTTTTTGAAGCGTATGTTGTTCAACTGGCTATTGTTGAGCTTACTTGGCCCTTTTTTCCTCCTGAAATTATATTTTGTTTGGAATAATGATTTAGGATTCTTGGATAGATACATATTAAAACTCTAATTCATATATTTTGCGATTTGGAGCAGAACCTGGTGACCGTGTAGAACCAGATGAGCCAATCGCACAAATCGAAACTGATAAGGTACTTTCAGCAAGGTGACATTCTGTCTAAGCATCCATATATTTATTTTTGACCAGTGTTCAGTTTGCATCAACTGCCAATAATGATTTTCTTGTATATTCTTTTGGATAAATAATTAAGGCTTACTTTTCTTATATGATACAAATAGGTAACAATTGAGGTAAATAGTCCTGAAGCTGGTGTAATTGAACAGGTAAATTATCAGATAGATTACAAGCTTGTCTCTTCTTGGATGGAGTTAATATGTTATTAAATTGTAATGTTTGTCTGTTTTCAGTTGGTGGCCAAAGTAGGTGATACTGTGGAGCCAGGTACCAAGATAGCTGTCATTTCAAAATCTGGTGGTGTAACTTATGTTGCTCCATCAGAAGAAAAGCCTAGCAAGGCAGTCTCTGAACTCTCTACTGCAAAAACGAGGAAAGCGGACATGGGGAAGCCTAAAGCAGAAGCTCCTCTACCCAAATCAGAAAGTCCACCCATCAAAGAAAAGCCTAAAGCACCTTCTCTGCCTCCCTCCAAACCTACAGCTAAGGAACCTCAACTTCCTCCTAAAGAAAGGGAGAGAAGAGTAAGTATCATTGGGTTCTTATTTTCAACTTGTAATCTTTTTTAGAATAAGCATAGAATGGTTGCTAACCTTTTCTTTTTGCTGTCTTTAGTGATGAAAGGGAAAAGTGCTGCTTCTTTAACATCTTGCAATATCTCTGATTTCAGGTTCCTATGACAAGACTTAGAAAGCGTGTTGCAACACGTTTGAAGGACTCTCAAAACACTTTCGCGATGTTGACTACATTCAATGAAGTTGATATGTAACTGCCGCCCCTTCTTTAGTAATTTTGTGAAATGTGAATTGCTGCTCTTCTCTTTCCTAACTTTTTTTGTTCTTTCAGTCCTTATAATTCTAGAAGATGTAGAATTTATGCTGCTTGGAACTTTAGTTAATCTTGATCATGTTTTGAAATGGATACACATCTTTTCTTGTGCTACTTACCATTTACAACTTTCCCATGTTATTTTAAGCTGATAATGACTTATTTGCTCATTCCCCTCAACTTTGATGTAATGATTTTTCCAGGACCAATTTGATGAAGCTCCGTTCTGACTATAAGGATGCTTTTGTTGAGAAGCATGGAGTAAAGTTAGGTCTTATGTCAGGATTCATAAAGGTGTCATTCACTAAAGCATGCATATGTGTGTTAGTATCTGTGTTCAATATTCAATCTTCATTTAAAATGCATTGTCTCCTTTCAGGCTGCTGTTAGTGCGCTTCAGAATCAACCAATTATCAATGCTGTTATTGATGGAGATGACATAATTTATAGAGATTATATTGACATCAGTATTGCTGTTGGTACTCCAAAGGTCTGTCACAATTTCAATCAGTCGAAGATAAAAGTGATCAAATAATTTAGTTGGGATTTCTTTTTGTGGTACATTTGTCTGTATGTACCTGTACCCTACCACCTCTTTGTTATATAAGTGCAAAAGCTCTTAACTGTGATTTAAGTTGTCTTGCTTTCTGGTTCTCTGTCTATATCTGAAATTGGGTTGCTTCCATCTTGCTTTTCCAGGGCCTTGTAGTTCCAGTAATCCGAAATGCTGATAGTATGAACTTTGCTGAAATTGAGAAGGAGATAAACATCCTTGCTAAGAAGGCAAATGATGGGTCTATATCAATTGATGAGATGGCCGGAGGCTCATTCACAATATCTAATGGTGGTGTTTATGGAAGCCTCTTAAGTACTCCAATTATTAACCCCCCTCAGGTGTGATGCTTTACAGTCAATTCACTCCCCCTGTCCCAGTCTCATTAACAAGTACACACACATCTAGTACTCATTCTGATGAACTTATACTGGTGTATAGTAAGTTACAACATTGTTTTCTGGGAAATAAACTGATAATCTGTGTGAATGCATGTTTTACTGCATAAATGCTCTAATAATGGAGATATGGTACTACATTCACAATTTTATATGCTAAATCCCTCATGTTATTGCCAAGTCCTTTTCTACTAACACTTTTCCTTTCTGACTTTATCAGTCGGCTATCCTGGGCATGCATTCCTTAGTTAGCCGTCCACTGGTTGTTGGTGGAGAAATTGTTCCAAGGCCAATGATGTACATTGCTCTGACATATGACCACCGACTGATTGATGGAAGAGAGGCAGTGTTCTTCTTGCGTCGCATTAAAGATGTTTTGGAGGATCCACGGAGACTGCTGCTTGATATATGACGAAACCATACACAACTGTCTGATTTTAGCATGCTGGTGTAGCTTGGATATGGCATACATTTTCTTGATGTAGAATAAATAGCAATGCTCGAACATCGAGTTTTCCAGGGCTCCTGTATTTGCATTTTCACCAAGTTTTCCACTAGCAGCCCATCACATAAACTTCCGATCACAAATGTAAGACATAATTCCTTGTTAAGGTGAAGTACTTATAATAAGTTTTAAGACCTGGGAAACAGAAGTTTATCATGGTTGAACATCTTGACCGTAAAGCATCCCTTATTTCTTTTGATTCATATTCTTTTAATCTAATCGAGGAAACATGCAACAGAGACAAACAGTGACCCAATCTTCACAATAGTTGAAGGTGAGGAGAGAAATGGACAGCCAGCTGCAAATTACAAACCTTGCTTCTGCTATAGTTTAAGAAAATATGAACAAACCTGGCAGAACCCTCCCCGGTTAGCCATGAATAACAACCAATTGCATGATTCGAAAATTTTATATATCCACGTTTATATTAATATTGAAAAACTTTTGGATAAATATTTTCATGATAATTAAGAAATTCAATTCTGTTGCCACTAAATTTTTGGCTGGCTCCAGGGCCACCTACCAGGAACAGCTTGGGTTAAAACTTAATAACATTGTTTTAGGCAGCCAACATCGACTATGCAACAGTCCTACTTGCCTCAATCCATGGCATCCGCCCCAGATCTCACCAACTCTCCACTTCTTTCCTTGTTAGTAGCTTACATTCTCCAAAGTGATCTCTCAACCAAATGGGTCCCCCTCTTTCAGTTCCTATAATCTTGTGTACTCGTTTCCAAACTCAGTTTCAATCACTGGCCAATCACGTTTGACCTTGTCGGCACTGTAACTGGCTCCTCACTTCGAGGGGCAAACACTTGACCGAAATTCTCGGGGGTCCCGCACTATAACCTCGGACAAAATCAGCAACATACGATAGGTTCCTCGTCAGGACAGCCGTTAGATGAAATGGTGTAGATGGGAGAAGCAGTACAAGCGAGTTAGACATGAAGAGAAGGAGACAAAGATTGGGGAGTGGTGAGAGACATAATAGCTCAAAACTCCGTATGCACCACTCCTTGATGATGTGGTTTTGTTGGCTATTTGTGTCTCTCGATTTGGCACAGAAACCCCTCGGCCACCCACTACTTCACTACCAACCATCTCTTCATTTTTTTTTTAATATTTACCAATATTTCTTTTATATATATAATATCTTTCACACATATTAAAAAAGGGTATCCTTTTTTATTATCTCTGCCCTCTTTTATTATCTCTTAGCGCAGAGTTAGCGGAGAAATGCTCTTTTGTGCTCTCTGAATTGCTCTCGATTGAAGAAGAAGAAGAAGAACGTAAAGAAGGGTTCTTTGTAAGCCTTTTGACTTTCCTGATTAATATCGTTGCATTAGCAGTTTATGTCTTTCACAACTTGGTATGATTGTTTTGCTTTGTGGTGTTGTGGGGGAATGTCATGAGATCTTGATAACGTGAAAGCATTGGTTTCTTTTCTTGGTTTTCTCAAATACCCTTATCTGTTTCGATGATTTGCATCTCAAAAACTTTGGTATAACGGTGTGGTTCTCCAATGGAGATGATCTTGTTTTTTGTTGAATGTCTCTGTTGGATATCTCAATGCTGTTTTTCAGATCATATTGGGTTATGATCTGTGAAGAAATACATTTGATGTTTTGGTTGGATATATGGTGTTGGGGTCTATTGTAATATTGAAATTCAATCAATTCATTGCATTAGGATCTGTGATTTTGAAGCCGGTAAGCCTTTCCATTGAAGTACTGCATAGCACTACTCTTCCCTTAGAGATAAAGGGTGAAGGAACTTTAGGCTTTTAGATGAATAGCATGTTTCCAATTCTATTTGTCTTGTATTAATCAAGTTTTTAATCTTAGGCTTTTAATGGCCAACTTGTTCGGTTTGAAGGCCATAGAAGGCACAATGCTGTTAATAATGGTGTCACTAACTTGCCTTTCCCGCCTTTCCTTACACATGAACATGCTTTTTCTATCTTGAACTACCCAATTGATAACCATTATCTCATATTTCTGTTTTTGAGGTGAGAGGTGAATGCTATTCTTAATTATAATATTGTCTTATTGCTTATTTCTAAAAGATTGTTGTTCATCAGTATTTCAACTTAAGAAGATGAGGGGAAGTCTTTGGCAGCTTGGGCAATCAATTACACGTCGTCTTGCTCAGGCTGACAAGAAGGCTGTAACACGTCGATACTTTGCTTCAGAGGCTGATCTGAAAAAGACTGTTCTTTATGATTTCCATGTTGCTCATGGTGGGAAGCTGGTCCCATTCGCTGGATGGAGCATGCCCATTCAGTACAAGGACTCAATCATGGACTCTACTATTAATTGCAGGCAGAATGGTGGACTCTTTGATGTATCCCATATGTGTGGGCTGAGCCTTAAGGGAAAGGACTGTGTTCCATTCCTCGAAAAGCTCGTCATTGCCGATGTTGCTGGGCTTGCCCATGGAACAGGAACTCTGACTGTCTTTACAAATGAGAAGGGAGGGGCAATTGATGATTCCGTGATCACCAAGGTGAAGGATGATCACATATACCTGGTTGTGAATGCAGGCTGCAGGGATAAGGATCTGGCTCACATTGAAGAGCATATGAAGGCATTCAAGGCCAAAGGTGGGGATGTCTCATGGCACATCCATGATGAGAGATCTCTTCTAGCTCTCCAGGTTAGTCACTAGACTTCTTCAATTTTATGTCTCCATGTCTGATTCTCTATATGGATTCATTTTTTTGCTTCCCTTGCAATTTGATGGTGATTGTTGAGTTGACCATGCATATAATTCCTACTTCCTTGAGTTTTAGTCTGTGCAAATGTTTCTCCCTAATCTGATGTTTTCCTTTTATTCTTGAATAGTTTGGTCTGCTTGCACGGTTCACAGGTTATTGGGTAAATGACTTGCCCGTGGCATTTGAACTATCTTTTGCATTCAGCTCTTCTTAAGTCTGTTTGTAGTTTCTCCTTCTTGCTATATGTAGAAAATAGTGTCCGGTTACCAATGATGGTAAATACAGTTTTTAGAAGATGTAATTTGATTGAGTTTGAAGATATTGGAATGTCTGCTTCAAAAGTTCAAAACATCTGTGAGAATTCTTTTAGTTGCTCCTCTTTCTTGCAGGGTCCTCTTGCTGCCCCAGTTCTCCAACATCTGACAAAGGATGATTTGAGTAAGTTATATTTTGGGGAATTCCGAATATTGGATATCAACGGTGCAACGTGCTTTCTCACTCGGACAGGGTAATCTTCCATTTTGTTGCTCTTGTTATGCAAAGAGTAGTAATTGGTTAGAGTGGTGATGCTATCCCTTGTTGGGAATGCTATGGAGAAGATAACTGATGAGTTGTCTCTTTACTCTTATTTTCAGGTACACTGGTGAGGATGGATTTGAAATCTCAGTTCCTTCAGAGAATGCCGAGGATCTTGCTAAAGCAATCTTGGAGAAATCTGAAGGGAAGGTTAGGTTGACAGGACTTGGAGCTCGAGACAGTCTCCGACTTGAAGCTGGGCTGTGTCTATATGGTAACGACATGGAACAACATATAACACCTGTGGAGGCTGGACTGACATGGGCTATAGGGAAAAGGAGGAGAGCAGAAGGCGGATTCCTAGGTGCTGAGGTAATCCTCAAACAACTGGCAGAGGGTCCATCAATCAGGCGTGTTGGCTTCATCTCCACCGGCCCACCTCCAAGATCCCACAGTGAGATTCAGGATGAGAAAGGAAGCAACATTGGCGAAATCACCAGTGGAGGATTTAGCCCCTGCCTCAAGAAGAACATAGCAATGGGATACGTGAAATCTGGGTTACACAAGGCAGGCACCAAAGCTAAGATTTTGGTAAGAGGAAAGGCCTATGATGGGGTTGTCACAAAAATGCCATTTGTACCAACAAAATATTACAAGCCATCCTAGACCAAAATCCACCCCTTCCCAGCTCCAGGATTTTCTGATTGTTTCCCCTGTTTCTGAGTTCCTTTCCATAAACTTTACAGCTGCTGCAATCAATACTAATATCCTTTTTGCTTCCATTAGCAAAATCTCATCTTGTTGCTTTACTCTGTTTCTCTCCTCTCCCCACTTACATACTCTATATAAACTGGAAAACAAATCAGATCAAATCAATTAAATTGTGTTGTCTTGTGTTCAATTCCCTTCCTTGACTTCCAATTTACTCAAACAAAGATAACAAATAGAAAATTATTAGATTCTTTTGGGTAAGAGAAAAAAGAAGAGAAGATCATAGAAAACACGACACAGCCTAGGACGGGAACGTCGCTGTATTGTGTTGCTTGTGGCAAATGAACTTCTGGGCGGTCCCGACGTGCTTCTCTAAGCAATAAAATCTTGGTTTTTCAGGACCCCAAATTATTCAAACATAAAATAAAATAAAATTTTGGTTTTTAATTTCGTTCAAACAACTCTCTGGGAACCATTCAAAAAACTCGTGGCTTTAAGCATTTAGTCTTTAACAAAGATTCCTTCTTTTCTTTTTTGGGGTTCGAAGCTTACTACATCATCCCTTCCCTCCAGGACGACTTCCACCTAAAAACCCTTTAAGGTAATTCAATTTAAGCGTCAGTTTTTGTTTTTTGGCTGTCTCTTTTCTTCTTTAGTTCTTGATCAGTGGTATCCTCTCGGTTTGATGTTTATGAATAGCAAAATCAACAGGTTTCTAATTTAATCACCAATTTATATGATGGGCCTTTCTCAAAGTTATGAAACGGATATGAATATTAAGTTTTATCTGCTTACTTTGCAATATCTTATTAGCTTTTCTGTTTCCCCTCCCTGTTCGAAGGCTATAGTAGGATGGTTCAATGATGTTAACGGTGAATCCTCCGGGAGCCATCAGCAAAAGCCAGGCCGCGTTTCTGGGCAATATTACCCTTTTCTGTAAACTGCCTTCTGCTGCGATTCACCGTAAGCTACCTGCAGGGATTCACTGCAATTTGCCATCCTGGAAAGATTCCAGGAAGCTTACTACCCATCATCTTGTATCACATCGAGTTGCTCCAAAGAGATGGCTGGTCCGCATTGTCGAACCTTGACTTTTCAGTTTGATTTTTGGAAGTAAAATCGAGTGTTTTTACATGTCTGTATGATGATTTCTCAAACTGTAGTGTCAATCAAGTGGTTCTGTTTCATCGGATGATGAGTATCGTTCATCAAGGAATATAGCAATCAGCCTGTTTAGGCGATACAGGAATGTCATCGACCGTGGAGGAGGTGACAACCTAAAAGTATATTAAGCGATTTGCTTGGTCTGCTCTTTCGTTTTTATGGAAAAGGGTTGCTAAGATCTGCAGCCTTCCTCATGTAATACTGTTCGAATTGATGTTGTGTCAGGAGTTCATTAGTGCTGGGGTCAATGCCTATGCATTGGGCTGCACAGATGAAGGATTGCGGAAAGAACTTATTGCCATGAAAGAATCTGGCATCGAAATCGAAGCAATGCAGAACTATGGCGGAAGCACCAGCTTGAAATCCAAGATTTGTGCAGAGGAGGTGACTGATCCTATAAATTTTAGCTTTTAAATCTGTCAAAGAGATATTGAATGGAAACTTTGTGATTGATAATGCAGGTGGATGAGTGTATTTTATGGCTGAGCATTATATTCATCACCATATTGTGTACACCACAGCCGACCATCGTCAGATGGTCCTCTACACCTCCAGTGTCAGATGATGTCCTGCATCAGTGGAAAGGCTTCTGTGCTCTCATAGCAAATGCATATTATATAAGAGGAATGGCATGGTGAGCTGCTTTTAGACTATGCTTGTCGATAAAACCTCCATTTTTTTTTGTCTAATGTTAGATTTTGAACATTAAAACAGTAAAGTAGATTGATGGGTTCTTACAGCTTTTGCTAAATTCTTGTTTTGCCAAAGGCTTCCAGTAAAGACTCTCCAGCTAGAGCAAATGGCCGTGGTTGGACGAGCTGAGGAGCCATCAGTTGTTGCTAGCCGAATGCGACTAGTTTTTAGCACACTTGAGGTCAGTGCAGCTGTCCTTGGCTTTTCTGAAATTGTTCATTCTCAAAATGGTTTGACCAATGGCTTCGAGCTCCCCAAGGGGCTCGAAGACTTTAGGGTCTAAATTTACTATCTTCGCATGGTCGATCAATATATGTAGCAGAATGCCGAGTAAGTTTGTCCATGGTTATGGACCCTGTTGTTGCTAATTATTGCTGGTTTTGGCATGTGCAGGTAGTTAGTCCACAGTGGCCAAGAGTCTAATAAGTTGTTTTGACATTGAAGACATCCGGTTTTCCGAGGATCTTATGTTGGAGCTTTGGTTCTTTTTGTAAGTTAATGTAGCAGTGTATACAACAGAATCTTGTTTCTGCAAAAAAAAATTCTGTATAATCTTGTGTTTATTACCTTGTATTCGAACTTTGAAAATTATAGTAATCTACTCTCATTCAGATTGCAGGCATGCATAGATTTGTGAAGTGGATTTTCATGGGATAAACTAGTATGCAGCTCATGCTATGCATTATGCTTCAGATGATGCTTTCTTCAATTCCATGAACAAATCAAATAAATGTTAAGCTTAACAGGACAAACGTTAAAAAGGGGTTAGACTACGGAGAGTTAAAGGAATGAATCATGTTTACGGTGCACTTAATATGACTCAAAATTTACTCAAAATTTCCATTTGGAGCTTAGATTACAGCCTTCTGTCTGTTTTCTCTTCAAACCATTGAAATTTGAAACAAATAAAGATATTGGAAACTACATCAAAACTGCAACTGTGTAACATATACAGAAACTATTACCGATCTGGGGAACTAAAAACTACAGCAGAGTCCTTAAGTGTCTTCCGAGCACGCCAATAGACAGCAGCAGCACTTTCTGATGTTCCCAACTGTAAAAGAAGTCGAAAGGCAGTGAGCATAGAATACAGGTCAAATCTGAGAGAATGGTCAAATAAAAGAAATCACACTGAAGATCACCTTAGTCTCCAGGGAATAGTAATCTTTCCATAAGCTGGTGTCTTGGTCATAAGTTGCAAGTGCAGCTTCATACAACTTTCGCCCATTTACTAGAGAATCTTCATCACCTAGAGATGCGAAGTTTGACTCCAATTCAATGCAATTTCTATATAGAGCAAGACCTGGATGAGGTAGAGCAAGGAATCTATGATTGGAAGACACAAAGTTAGAAACTTCCAGGTAATTGAGTTCTTGTTCTGCTACTTTACCAGAAGCAACAAGACATGACATGATAACATACCGCTTATACACCTCTCTTGCATGTTGAAGTCCATCCTTATGAAGGATGAAATTCACTACAGCTGAAGAAAGAGAAAATCCATTGTCTCTGCCACCATATTTAGCTACCGAAATGAGAGAAAACTCAATTAGCTTCTCAAAGTACTTCTTCTGGTTTGCAAAGAATTTCAGAGCCTGCAGTATGAGATAGTGTCACATCAGGATTTTCATACTCAAAACTTCATTGCCTTATTTTTCTGATAGAATAGGTGAGAAAAATAAAGTATAAAATGGTCATAATGCAGTTCACTTATTACATTTTTCACATAGGAACATGCAGACAATGAAGCACAACTAATATACAAATTAATATGATCATCATTACATTAATTAGGCAAAACATAGTGGCAGTTGCAGCAAGAGGGAGTCCAAAGTCCACTCAGCAAGGGAAATGATTAACAAATAAATATATTAGATATTTGAGGAGAACAAAAAAAAGCAAGAATAGATTAATGCTCAAACATACCATCATCCACAAGCTCTCAGCTTCTGATATTGACGTTTTTGTCAATACAGTTTTGAGAAGTTCAAAGATGGATGATGTATCAGCCTTGCTAGGAGAAAGAGAATTCTTTGAAACACATCTAATTTCTACTGAAATCCTTAACAGCCATAGCTGTACTGAATCTGAAAGTTTTCCACTACAAAGCTTCTCTGCTACTTTCTTGGCTTCCTCCAATCTCCCAATTTGTGTGTAAAATGAAATATATTGGCAAGCAAGTTCTTCCGTAAGACACTCCATTGTTTCAGCCTTCTCATAAACCTTCAAGATATGTGAAACATAACTCGAGTAAGCTTCCATGTCTCCTCTTTTAGAAGCAATGACATCCATAAAAAATTTGATATACAAATTAAACATCATGGCTGAAGGCACAGTTTTTGTTGCCTCTTCATAAACCTGCACATGGCAGAGAAATAATATGGTCAACCTATGAATCCAAAGATAAGCTTGCTGCAAATTTACTTGGTCATTTAGTTAATACTGTCATACCTGAACAGCCTTTTGCAACTGAGAAAGCATGGCATCCTCATTCTTCTTCCCTGAACTTGAGGCATCAGACATTTCAAGTCTTCCTAGCCAATCCCAATATTCCGGATCAGCTGAAAAGTCTCTCTTCATATCAGTCAGTATCTCCTCATGCAGCTCTTCTGAATCTGCCACCTCTATTGCTTCCAATATCTCAAGAAACTGTTTTCTAAGACCAAAACTAGAAGGAATCGCTTCAATTGCTCCCTTATAGATAGTTTTAAGAACACCCGAAGCATGCTCCAAAAACAAATCCAATTTCTTCTCTAACTCTTCATCTGAACCATGATCATCATTTCCTTTTTCTTCATCATCAAGGGACATAAACAAATCTTTGTTTTCCTCTTTCCATTGCTTTTCATCGGCATCCTTATGATCACGAACCAAAGTTCCTTTATCCTCTCCCAAAGCAACCTTTCGAGTTTTTAACTTGTTAAGGTAAGTAAGTTCCATCCTAAGATATTCTACCCAAAGGTCTTCTGAATTAGGACACATTCTCAAACCGCTCTGCATCAAAGCACGAGCAGCTGCCACATTCAAATTATGATCAAATTCCCATGCTGCCGCATATATCCAAACTCCTGGAACCTTAGGATGAAACCTAATCACTTGAGCCAAAACCTACAAAATTTATATAAAGAAAATTTTTTTAACAATTATTCACCTCTTGAACACAAATGAACCCCCAAAAGAGTTCTTCTTTCGGTCTTTGCATTTTCCTTCACTTTCTCAGCATCCAAACAGAAAGACAGTAAATAAAAAAAAAGTAAATAAAAAAAATGTGTACCTTTTTCATTCTTCCATTCTTTCTCTGTCTACAAAACTCAAGGTACCGAAACCAAAGCTCAACATCTCCTTTGTATCTCATCACAGCGAGTCTATAAATCTCCATGATTCTCGAGACAGGCGCAAAATCGGAAACCGATTTTCTCGTCTTAGTCTTCTTCTTGCCTTGTCTCACGAGTTCGCGTGTGGCGGCTTTCTTGCGGAGTTGGCGGAGCGAATCGAGCTGAGTCTCGTAGTCGATGTAGGCAATGTAATCTTGCTTCAGAGGAGAAGGTCGCTTGAGCCGGTATTCGAACTTGCGCCGTTGCTTTACTATCTCGGCAATCTCGCGGCGAGTGAAGAGACCTCGCCGTTCGAGATCGTCGAGCTCGTCTACCATGCGCTCGAGACGGTACTGAACTACGTCCGCCATTGTTGGCTTAGTGTTGAGTCAACCTGAATCGGTCTGACTCGGTGTTTAGGGTTTAAGATAGACAGGTATGAGAAGGAAGGGATTCGGCCTTTGAAAGGGTTTTTCTTTGTACGGCAAGAGGGACAACATTTTGCCGCGAAGAAGAGTTCTCTGTTTGTGGGCTGCGTTTGGGCCTTACCTAAACAGATTTTAGGCTTAGCCTAGCCCAAAAAGAATCTTAAGGCTTCCTGTGTGCCCACTCTCTGGCCCGTAACTTCTCGATTAGAGACAAACATTTGATTGATTCATTTTTAAACTTTTTTTAATATTTAAATTAATTGAATTACAAGTCATTAAAATTGACTAAATTATATTATAAAATAAAAAATAATTATAAACGATTTATCTCAGTTGATTCTAACTTTTAGTAATATTAATAATATTTATATATAATATTTTTTAAAAACTTATTTAATCGTGTGTGTATATATAAGATTAACAATATTTATATAAAAATATATTTAAAAAATATATTATTAATAGGTGAAATTTTGATTGTTATAAATTTTAATGATTAAAAATCCATCGAGATAATCGAATAAATAATCTTTTCTAACCGATTAATACAAAATCAAAAAATTAAATCAAATTAATGAAATTCAATCCATCATTTCGTTTTTCACTGATTAATGCTCACCTCTATTCTCGGATAAATAATAATCACTTATTAAAAAGCAATATTAATTGTGTGTATTTGTTTTGATGGAGCAAACTTGGGCGAAGAGGTGAAATAGTATTTAAAACACAATTAGCATTGAAAGAAAGACATTTATGTTCCAACATGTTGTACTCGTAATAATCCATGTCGTAATACTAGTAGTAGAAAGAATAAGGTTGTTCTTGATCTGACTTGCTTTCCACTCTTGGTTGTCGGGGTGTACACTAAAGATTTTAGGAACAAGGCCTAGCTAGCTTGCTCTAGGGATCACCATTGTCGTTGTTTGAGTCTTTGCCTCCTCCTGTTCCTATACCAAAACCAAATCCGATGCCCATTCCCATGCCAAATCCCATGTTAATGCCATTTCCACCACCATGTCCTCCGCCTAAGCCTTTCTCATTGTTGGAACCACCATGTCCTTCGCCTAAGCCTTTCTCATTGTTGGAACCACCAATTCCTCCTCCAAACCCCATGCCTTCACCATGTCCATATCCTTCTCCACCACCACCACCTCCTCCTCCTCCT